AACGTGTAAGTGACAATTGTGACTGATTGGTGTGTTTTTCCAACACACCCGACGTTAGTGAGTAAGTAGCTCTTTAAAGGCTAAAATTAAGGGTCACCCAATGATGCTGGAGGGCATTAACCCTCACGGAGGACTTCGGGGAGTGAAGGAGTTTGAAGTGTCAGTTTCCCATTGGCCACCTGACAGAGTGAACACCTGTTCCACTGTCTCTGGGAATGGTGAACAGCACGGGAAGGAGCAGGAATTTCTGCATATGAGATCATGAGCCACCAGTCAACTGGTTGGATGATAGGGTTTGGTTTTATAATCTCCTTCCATGAAGCCGCCATATGCTTTTACCTTTAGACTGGGACGCGGTCCCAGGGCCGAACTGCTTGGCAGCTGGTGACTGTTTTTGTTCCAGAAGATTAGAATTACTTTTCTTCTTCTTCTTTTTTTTTTTTTTTTGATTATCAACAGTCAATGGTAATCATTTTTTAAAGCCGAGGAAGATAGAAAAGGAAAGAAGAACAAAGAAATAAAGAGTGATGTCACGGCACAAATGATATAATGTGGGGGCTAAGATTAGGACTCCCCTGGGCCTGCACCAATGGGTTAACAAGGCGTAAAGAAACACAAAGTCATAAAATGCTTACACCCGAGTTCGGGAAAAACAGATTGGCATGCCAAGAATAGGGAGGCACAAAGGTGCCAAGAATAGGGGGTTGCAAAGGCACCCCAAAATAGGGAGGGGTTACTATACCGCCCAAGATAGAGAGGGAAAGGCAAAGGCCCGAAATTGAACCAACGCAAAGGTGCCCAATACATGGGAATAACGAGATTAGATATTCAGGGTGAAAGCACCCCAAGTTTAGTACCACAGCAGAAAGCTGCTTTCATAGGAGAATAGGGCCAGGGCAGGTAAATTGGTGTATTGGACTTTGGACCACTGCCCTGCAGGCAAAACAGCCCGGAGCAGAGATGGTTAACGAAAGAAAAGGTGTCTTCTTAACCCTGAGGTTACTCCTCCTATCTGTCTCATCCCCTAGGCTGGCAAAGATAAACAGGCAAGGCGCCTCCTCTCTGCTGTTAACAACCATCTACCCATCTGCCCGGCACCTGGATTTTGTTTTATATTGACCCAAACCCCAAACACTGTATATCTTCAAGACCCCCCTTTTCCCCCTCACGTCCTCAAGTTAATGTTCACAGTTTCTTTGTCTCTTTGTACACGCCCATCACGTTTGTAAGCCTTCTGATCTGAATAAATACGAGGCAAGGACCCTTATTCGGGGCTCTTGTCTTTTTCCCCGGACATTAGCCGTCTCTCGTTTTAATCTTCCGTCCGCTCTTTTGCTAAGAAGAAAGAGAACTTTAGACTTAGAGTCTAGGACAATACAATAATTTGCATTTTCCAAAATTTCCAATTTCAAACATTTCCTAATAAATAGGTTTACAGAACGTGAGGGGTTGTGGTTGTTTTTTGGTTTTTAGGAGACAATGGACATTCCATTCTGTTGAGAAGTTGTAAGCTCCATGAAAATCTGAGTTGTGTGTGAATGTATTATTATTAATCATTAAAATGACTTTTGAAGGAGGTGTGTTTCTTCTCCTGGCTTTACAAAAGAATGAACTGATAAAAGAAACTCAGCAGTTCGATACCTAGAGGGTAACACAGCCACGTAGGCTTACGCGCCATTTTGCAAAGGGTTTCCCTTACCTCACTGACTCCGGAACCCAGAACGTTAACCAGGTTCTGCTATCGCTCCTTAGCAGCGCATTTTGATTTAACAGAACTAAACAGAAGTTGTTTAATTGAAATTGATTGGGGTTTTTTTGAGAGTGGATGCTATCGGCTATACGACCTTGGTTGTGTTGGTGTACCTGTTTGGGCGTGGGCTGTGTGAAGCAACATTCTCCCTTGTTAATAGGGGGAGAACGACTGGGAGGGCAAGGAGAGAGCCTAGCAGGCTGGGGGTTAGATGGAGGACCGGGTACAGAGAGGTCATGAAGTTGGTAAGTGACAGAGCCAAGATCTGTGCCTGGATAGTCTGAACAAGGTCTCCCATGTTTTTCCACTCACCTCAGGGGTTCTCGTTGTCCCTCGGGGCTGGGCAGAGACTTGGCTTCCTCAGGAATCTTTCCTCCACTTGTGTCTTCATTGTCCATGTTCTCATCTCTCCCCGTTAGGACTATAGGCCCTGGGAGGCATGAATACTCTCCCTTTTTCCCATTTTGTGTGCCCACCATCTTATGAGGTTGTCAGGAGAGCGGTTTCTGTCCCTACCAGGCGGCTGAGGAAAATGGCGGCCTGGGGATTTGCGGAATACTACAAGGCCACCCTCTGTCAGAGCCAGGGGTCGTACTTAGCTTTTCAGCTCTCGTGCTGGGCTTCTAATCTGGAAGAAAATGCCTTAGCAAGGCTCCTTACAAGCAATTGGGGGCCGGTGATGGAGTTCACAGAATTCTAGAATTGCAAGAACCCGCAATGGTTATCTGAAATAAATGTCGTCATAGAATGGGGAGGTGGCATAGCCAAGGCTGTGATGCATGTTAGCAGAAAGATTGGAGTAGTGAGAACACGGAATTAGCCTGTGTTCTTACTGATTGACGTACGTTATCGAGTATAAATTATTCAGATTTGAACCAAGTGGGTAATGCCTTTACTATCATTGTCCTTGGCCCGCATGCAAAGACTAGTTTTATTCTTAGTGAAACCTATTTATTCTGCTTGGTGCGGGCCCTTATGGGATTGCTTTATCAGGTTTTGTTGTTGTTGTTGTTTTTATTTTTTTTTTTAAATTTTTTTTTTCAACGTTTATTTATTTTTGGGACAGAGAGAGACAGAGCATGAATGGGGGAGGGGCAGAGAGAGAGGGAGACACAGAATCGGAAACAGGCTCCAGGCTCCGAGCCATCAGCCCAGAGCCCGACGCGGGGCTCGAACTCACGGACCGCGAGATCGTGACCTGGCTGAAGTCGGACGCTTGACCGACTGCGCCACCCAGGCGCCCCAAGTTGTTGTTTTTAAATCAACTTTGCTCCCTTGCAGTCCCCTGGACCTCCCCTCCACGCCACAGTCGTCCCTCCAGCCCCCCAGCCCCTGTACCCCCCACGCTCTCACCAGCCCTTTGTTTTCCTCATGGCTGCCTTCCAGCTGGGCTCCACACACCCCTCTAAGGCCATTTCCTGGCTGCATCCTGAACCAGTGCAGCAGTTGCTAAAATATTAATGGCTCCCTGTGTGAAAAATAACACAGTGAAGCCTGCTGTAAATTAAAATTGCCAGGGAGGTGGAAACGAAGCAATGGAAGACGTTAAGCAAAGTCAGAACACGAAAAATGGCCTTATAGGGCAACGGAGGCAAAGGAGGGTATCTTAGCTCTGCTTCCCTTTCACGGCACCAGGCGTCGCCACGGGAAATGGCAGGTGCGTTGGCTGGGATTCACCATCTTGGCCACCTTTGGTTTTGCCCGGCTGCCTGCTCTCCTGGGTCCACGGGGGAGAGGAGGAGGGAAGGGCGGCACAGGTTTGAAAACAAAAGGTAAACTGTGTGGATAAGAGGAATAGGGGCTCCCAGAGTTACAAGTGCATGTGGCAAGCTAGTGGGAGGGGGGCTGAAGGAGGCTGATGGCAAATCAGGTTAGGTTCAAAGGCAAAAACGTGGTTCTACCCTTGGTCCGGTCCTTAGTGAAGGCACTTGGTGTCTTAATTATTAGATTCGCCAGCCAGACTCTGTCCTTGCCATCGTTGTGGTCCCGGTGCCTCGCACGGTGCTTGGTGCTTGACACAAATCACAACGCTAAGTGACATTTGCTGATCGGCTGGCGTGAGTCATTGGGAAGGAGAGGGGCAGACAGCAAAAATCGACCCTTAACATTTGCAGCGCAGTGAATGTTAACATTTTTATTTCTTTTATGAAGAAGAGAGTACAGAGGGCTGGGGACAGAGGCATCAGAGGAAGAGGAAAGACAGTGTCACCTCTGCAGAAAACACCCCTAAACTGTACACAGAAGAGAAATGGAGTCCCAGGGCCGCCTTTCCCAGCTGGAAAATCGGGACCAATCCAGGTGAGTTTTCCAGTAACTCCCATGGCTACAGGGCATATGCCAGCCTTCCCAGGAGTCCTGGCCATATCTCCAGGTGCCAGGGGCTCAAGCCCTCTCTTCTATTCCCAAAACAACCTGGCCACTCTTTTTTTTTCCCTCTCAAGTTCCTGACTCGAGTCCCATGCTCTGGTCTCTGTCTCCTTCCTTGTACTTGTCTGACTCGAGCCAGATTTGCACGCGTTCCTCTGGTTTCTGCATCACTGTCATTACCATTGTCATACCTCAGAGGTATGCCAACAACCTTCCTCCCACTCAGAAGATTCTTCCAACGCTAGGTCTTTTAGCTCTGCCCCAGACCCTCTCATCTCCTCATTTTACCTCCCTGTCTCCTCCCTCCTGGAGCGCAGAGCGCTGCACTTGGACTTCCAGACAAGCCTGGTTTATGTGGAGGGGGAGAGTGGAAGCATATCCCCTCAAGGCTTGCTGAGGACCCTGGGTTTCATCCAAACAGACTGAGCTGCCAAGACCTTCCCTGCCACCCTCTTCAGTTTCTGTCATTCACTCCCCTCCACTGAACCCCTTCATAGACAGCACTCAGCCCCGGGCCTGCCTGCAGCTCATTTGAGGGTAAAAGCCGTAGGGAGGCGGTGACAGGTGCTCCTGGAACCAGGCATTTTTCCGGCTGTGAGCATGCCCACTGTATATGCAGTGTGCAAGAAAGCCATTGTCAGTCACGTGAAACGGTTGCTATGGAACGTGCGGAAAGTGAGAACACGATTTAATTGTGGATTTTATTAGGAGTGTGATACTAGTCAGGAAGGCCCAGAAAGCTGGCGCTGTGGCCACTAACCAGCTCAGGGAGAAGGAAAGAGCAGCAGAAACCGCTTTGGAGCTCCAGCTGACGTGGACCTGTGTGGACATCCTCCGGTCTCCTGGCCCCGTTCCCCTCGCCCAGATTTGGTAGGTGGAAGCTCTAAACATTCGCAAATTCACAGTCATAGTCGGTCATTCGGCACATTATGAACTTCCACTGGCGATCCCTGTGGGGAGAGAGTCAAAAGGCAAGCCAGTGAGGACTATCGCTGCCGAGGGAGAAGCAGTGAACGGCTTTTGGAGGATTTAGGAACCGAAGGGGCGCCTAATCTCATGTCGATCTCTACGAAGTCTCTAGAAAACCGACAGGTAATCCATCTGTGAGGTCAGTTCTCGACACCTCCTTGGTCAGGGCAGGTCGCACCTTGCAGGTGACTGACAGGTTCCTGGCCACGTGGAGGTCCCGTTTGTCACCCGGGGTCTGCTGGCCACTGCTCTGTCCCATGAGTACCTCTAGGACAAATAGGTGCACAGTTTGGAATAAAAGCATTTATTTAGCATCGTCTCCTTTTCACTGTAAAGAATCTTCTCTTCCATGGGCCATCCATTTGCTCGTTTATTACTTTACTGAGTGCTTCCTGAGTTCTAGGCTCCACACCATACACTGTGTGTTTCCATTCAGAAAACACCATGACGGGGAAATGAAGTGGGGGGCCCACAACCCTAAACCCCCATAAAGCGAACAAGAAAACGCCCCCCATCCACGCACGGCAGAAATTGAATCGTGTATTCGTCCTAGAGGTCAGGCACGCGGATGAAAGGCCATAGCATTGTTCAATTGGGGAAAATGAGGTGTGGTGGGTACATTTCAATGGATGTTCTTTGCTAAGGGCAAGCCTACGTTCTTTGTTCACCCATTTAACTGCACATTTAACTGCGTATATATACGTATATACTGCGTATATTTTTGAGCGCCTGCGTGGTGCTCTTCTGGCATAATAATACCGCCTAACAGCGATATGACAATTATACCCGCTATTTGCGGAGCAACTTTGGTACACCCAGCGTCACACTGGTGCACGGGTTTGCTCGTTTAACCTTGACAGTGATTCATGGGTTTAAGTGAAGAAGCAGACTCCGAGAAATACGTGCCTTTCCTTAAGATAACTAGGCAGTGATTTCAGATTCCAAGAGTGTTGAACTCAAATCTTGCTCTTTCTCCTGTCCCACGATACCAACTGTAACTACGTGCCCGTAACCCCACCGGAGGACATGGCTGTCACATCCTTCGCAAAGTCCCAACGAAGGGCAAAAATAAAAACCCATTCCATCCGTGGTCACGCAGATCCTTCCAAAGGGCAGCCTGTCGTTTAATCTTAGAATTATCCTTCTCCCCTTTCAACCTGCCAGGCTACTTCCCAGTTATCGTGAACAATAACCGATCCCGAGAAGGTCTCCATCCAGCCTCCGATCTGGAAGGTAGTTCTGGGATATACCTCTGGCCAGCAGCTCTAGGGCATGCTGCTCAGCCTGAGTCTGGATTTGGAGTTCTGAGTCTGTTGTTCCAAGTCATTTGCTTAAAATCATTGGCAGGAGGGTCTCCCAGTTGCTCCCCAAGGGGTTTTTTAGTTGTCACAGCTATGGGGGAGGGGAGGTTGCTAGTGCCATCTAGTGATAGGGGTCAGGGATGCCGCTAAACATCTGGAATGCCTGGACTGGCGCCTGCAACAGAGAATCATCTGGCCCCAGATATCTACAGCACTCAGGCTGAGCAACTCCATACCAAGAAGAACCCATTATGATTTGCATATGGAAGGAAAGCCCCTGCCCAGTAGGTCGGTCCTGCCCTGACAATATTTCTCCAAGGAGGTGGCCTTAGCATCTTTCAACAGAGCCGAAGGAGCCCACACTGTGGATCTTTAAGCCACTGACTGTTAGCGACAGCAGCAAAATCTCACGGGCACGTTCATAGTAAACAAACGCGTGACACGATATCTCAGTTTTCCAAGGTCCTGGGTTAATCCCCATAACTGATACATTTCAAGCCAATGGGAATTGGGTATTTTAACCACCAACATATATGTCTTTTGTAGTGATTTTGGATGGTATTCTTTCCATATTGTAGTCTTTCCTGCCTTCTTAAACAGGCAATGCAGAGCTAATTTTCCTGTTGATGTGGAGACGTCACAAGAACACTGAATGCCCTGCTACACTGTTACCCAGTCTGCCCTCTGGGACGGCACAGCCACTGATTTTCACCAGGCTCCCCTGGTTTTTGAGTTCTCAGGTCTTTTCTTTTCTTAAAAATAGTGTGTGTGTGTGTGTGTGTGTGTGTGTGTGATGCCATTTGGCGATTTCTTCTCCCTGGTGAAGAGTTTCATTCTAAGCACTATTTTCCCTGATCATTTTTAGACTTTGTGCTTCTAGAAAATAGACAACTAAGCTAGTTTAAAATGCGTCTAAAATAAGAACAATTAATGTGTGAGAAGTGAAGGGTTCCCTTATGAATAAACATAAAGGTTCTTTGATGATGGAGCCTGAACCATGTAGGGTGCCTTTTCAGAGCTGCTTAATGTTTGTTCTTTTGTTTTTTCTTTTTTGTTTGTCAAATCCTGGGCCATGTTAAATACGATCACTTCAGTTAGGTGAGATGTCGTTTCATTTAAAAGCATAAATTTCCCCAAGAGGTAAGCCACACTCACATTCATCATAGTCCATTATTGAATGAGTCGATGTAAGTTTTGTTCTGTTTGCAAAACACGTTTGGGTGACTTTTTGGGAATTCATATGCTGTGTGAGGCGATTATCACCTGACAGAAAGTCCCTGAATTTATAGGGAAAGCGCTCTCTGAAGTCGAGTGAAAGGCAGAGCTTAGAACATCATGGGAGACCTAGCTGGGGTTTTCCTTCTCTGGAGCGGCCTGGAACCCATCATTATTTCCAAGGGTGAGCTGCTCCATGAAATGGTTGATGAGAATATCTCCATTCCCACAGCTGTCCATCGCCCTGGCAACCTCTCCCTTAATTCTAGACCAAGGAGGAAATAAACTAGAGAAAACCCCGGATGGAAGTTCCTGCTGACATGGTCCTTGCTGGGGTCCCCAGTTCCTTGGACTCCTAGCCCCTGGGCAGGCTCACCTTTCCACCGCAGAGAAGGTGGTGGTCGCTCCTCGCATATAGTAGTCGTAATTGTAGGAAATCATGTCCATTTCTTCCCCATAGTGGCCTGGATATTCTGTGGTCAGCCTATGCGGGAAGAAGAAAAGTTTAGAGGAAAAAGCACTGTCATTACAAAGAAGAGAGGGCGTCTGAACATCACGGGAAATCCAAGCCAGAGTTTGATGGCCTCCGGTAAACCTTTCCAGCTGCAGAAAGGTGATGGGCAGTTGCCTCCCACTTCTCATCTTCCTTCTTCTTGCCATTAAACTACACACTGAAAAAGATGTAGATAACTCCTCGGGCCTTGAGGAAATATTAATTAATATCACTAGTGGTCCGTTCCAGACAAGTGCACTGGAATCGTGTTTCCAAACTGTGGATTGTGACTTCTTAGTAGATCATGAAATGAACTTACCTGGTTATTTCCAAGTGAGCTTTAAAACATAGGGGCGCTTGGGTGGCTCAGTCGGTTAAGCGTCCCACTTCAGCTCAGGTCATGATCTCGCGGTTCGTGGGTTCGAGCCCCGCGTCGGGCTCTGTGCTGACTCAGCACAGAGGGCTCAGAGCCCGGAGCCTGTTTCAGATTCTGTGTCTCCCTCTCTCTCTCTGCCCCTCCCCCGCTCGCGCCCTGACTCTCCCTCTCTCTCAAAAATAAATAAACATTAAAAAATAAAAATAAAAAAATAAAAAGTAGAATAGGAAATATCAGAGCACATGCTGAAGGTTGTGTACATGTGTGTAAAAACTTTGTTTCAAATATACTGTATATGTGTGTGTAACTATGATGTACGCCTGGTGTGATAGTTTAGTATGTATTTTTTTACTGTGAGTCATGATAAAAGGGTTTGAAAAATATTAAAATAATATTTAATCCCCACAAAGGTAGTCTTTTCCTTGTCCACTATTGTTTTGTGGCACCTGGAACAGTTCCTTCTATGTAGTAGGTATTTGCTGAATAAATAAATGGCCTTGGGAGAGTCACTTAATCTCAATTTCCCGGTGTAGAGAAGAATGAAAACTACCTTATGAGTTTGTTATTGGAACTAATACTCGTATGTGTGATGTGCAAATGGTAGAAGTTGAGCCATAAGGAGAAATTTGTTTCTTCTTCCTCCTCCTTTTTCTTCCTTCTCCTCCAAGATTAGGCTGATCCCAGGCCTCCCTAAAAGTAGGTTTGCTGTGGTCCACCCTGGAATAAGTCTAGAACCTCCTGAGGCTCGTAAGGGGAACTTCAGGACCAAACAGGGTCCTTTCAGTGTGAAATGGGTGTGCCAAAGTCTTTATCTGTGTCTCCAAGGCAGTTAGTGAGTGTCAATAATTCCATCCGATTTGGATTCACCAGGTCATTGTGCATTATTGTATATCTGTTGATGATCCAAAGACCTTCCATTATGTGGACTTAGTATTGCAATGATTGTCATGAAATCTTGAAAAGACTGATTTATAAACTGGAAGGGCTCGGAGGAGGATCTCAGAGCTTGGCTGCAGCAAGATCAATGGTTAGCTCAGGACAACGTGGGGTTAGCTAGAGCCCCAAAAGCCCGTTCTCGAAGCTCACAATTCGTCTTCACATTATACAGTTGCCCTCCTTCTGAGACTTTTCTCAAGACATAATTATGCTCCATTGGGATGCCAAGCCCAACCGAGGGGGGGTTATATGTGTTTTTGCCTAATGTGTTCATGAAGGAAAATTAGACTCTGCTAATTCAGAAATCTATTCAGTGCTTCTAAAGGGACCCAGAACAGGAACTTCCCTTTCTAATGAAAATGTTAAATGACTCATAAATGGACTTAATAGGGCCTCACTTGGATCCCATTGGTTTCTGATCCGCGAGGATTCTAACAAGTGCTAGACTAAAGTTTATCCAAAAAAAAAAAAAAAAAAAAAAAAGAGGCATTGGTTGAGAATGTTAATGATGCAAATTAGGATTAAAAGAAATGGGGTAGGAGGTGTTTTCCTTACTTCAGGGAACGTAAAATATTTTCCGGAACTTTGAAACACTCTTTGGATACAATGCATGAAAGCCAAGTGCCACACAGTTTTATATGTGTGAAGGCAGAATCTACATATGGCAATACTCTATTGAGCTAAATCCAATTACTAAAATTATTTGGAAATGACCAGGCTAGATATTTATTTGTTTTTAAATTTTTACTGATCTGACCTCAGATTACTTGGTTAGTTAAACAAATTTGGACTAACGTGGAAAAAAGAGGCTTGCATTAAAAAAAAAATCACGAAGTTCTAAGCTTCGAAGGGGACAAATGTATCCAATACTTTAACTAGCATTTTCTATTGCTTTATTTTTGGTAGTGATCAGATACAGGTCCCCTGATCAACTGGACAGTTGGTCTCTGTGGGGGACTGCGATCCAGTAAATTTCTAGATTGCCCCAGAGAAGGCGTGCATGCTCATTAGTACATTTCTGTCTCGGTCCCGCCGGGTTTTTGTTTTATTTGATGTTTGGTTCTTGTTGTTATTTTGTTCCAAAACTGTGAGATCAAGTTTGGACTCTCTTACCGGACCCTGGATTAACGGGGCCAGGGAAGGAATTTACATATTGATGGAAATTATGCCTGCTCTCTGACGCTAAAAATGTAGAGAAAGAAATGGCCCAAGTCATGAGTGGGAAGTGAACAACCCAAAGACCATCCATAGAGGGAACTACTGTTTCAGTACGATCCAGGATCCTGAGTTTTAGAACCAAATAGATGTGTCGCCATTTTAGTTCTTGATGGTGTTGGGCACACACAACATGTCTTAATAGAGGAAAGCCCCAGCAATAGCTTCTATGAGAGAAAAGAAAGAATGTAAACTTTCATAGTTGGACACTGAAACAGGGGCGTGGGGACTTGTCAGGACATCAAAAGAGCCCATAAGGAAGCAGAAAAACACTGAAATGGGTAGATTATTGAAGGTCTCTATTGGGATCCTCACATACTCCCTTACACAGAACTGTGTGTGTGTGTGCGCGTGTGTGTATGTGTGTGTGCGTTCCTCCTATCACTTTGGATGAATGACTACTGGGGTACACTTTCTCACCCCATGATACCTACCTACATACATAACTACATACATAAATGATACCCCATTTATGCCATCTGCAGGCAAGACAAAGAACTTGACTGAGAACTTGCAAAGTGAGGGAAACTAAGCGAGAACTCGATAACGTAGAACCCCTTTACAACTTCCTGTGTTAGATGGGGTCGAGCGAGATGGAAAGAAATTAAACAACATCTCACTTACGAGCTGAAGAAAACTCAAACTGAAGGGATTTTTAAGATTGCTAGAGGAGATTCTCATCTAAGATTCTCATCTAAGATTAAAGCCCTGAAATTATCAACAGACCCAACTAGAGTCAAAACAGGGCTGCTGCGGTGTTCGTTACCATTGATGGAGCCACAGCCGACAGATGTCCCTGCTCCTTTTGCTGTGAGAATGGGGCCTATCACAGAGCCAGGCCCAGATATATGTTATCACAGCCATTTCAAAAGAGGGAGTATAGCTACGATTTAGTTGGATAAAGAGGCTGGTCTTACTGGTTGTTAGAGGTTTGGCTGAGGACTGGGTTTAATAAAGGAAAGGGTTTTAAATATATTCCTCGGCGGAGAGTGACTCAGTGTAAAACCGTAAGAAAATCCACCTCTATCATCGATTACGGGGCAGTTGAACCTGCAATCAAACGTCGCAGCCCCAGGATCGGTTTCCCACCCGCCTGATCTGCTGGCGGTGGGGACAACTGGATTATACGACGGCCTCCTGCAGGCTGCTGTCGGGCCGTGTGCCCCACCGATGTGCACACGGACAACGGGGCCTTGTCTCGTGGCCCCAAGTCAGCGAGGACCACGTCCCCAACCTTATCCCGCCGCATGGGACAGCAGGGGAGCACACACCACAGCCTCCCGAAGGTAAAAGCTGGAAGAACAACCCAGCTTTTACAAATTAACGCGTCAGGATGGGAGCTTCAGCTTCTGTCTAAACAAGAATAAACTGAGGATGTTTTCTGACCCGTTCTTTGGTGAGTAGCCCACGTTCAATCGACATTTTAGAGAAGCTGCTTCTGGTCAGTCCAACCTCTAATCCTGTTTTCTTCCTGTTTCCTCCACTTCCCAATCGGCACCTTTTTATTTTATTTTATTTTATTTTATTTTATTTTATTTTATTTATTTTTATTTCATAGTTTGAGAGGGGGGAGAGAGAGAGAGAGAGAGCAGGGGAGGGACAGAAAGAGAGGGAGACAGAGAATCCCAAGCAGTCTCCACGCTGTTAGCTCAGAGCCTAATGCTGCGTTCGAACCCGCGAACCGTGGGATCATGACCTGAGCTGAAATCAAGAGTCGGACGCTTAACCAACGGAGCCACCCAGGTGCCTTGCGCACCTGATTTTAAATACCCTCTTCTAATGTCCTATTACTTGTCGGCCCCACATACGTAGCATTTAATTACAAAAACAGGATCCCATAAATATGTCTTTTTTTCACGATGATGACCAATGCAGTGAACTCCTTAAGGGGACAGTGGCCCCCACAGTGGCGTGAAGGAGAAATTCAGCATTTGTAGAACTGATGTGTTGAGGTTGGCCTACGTTCTACATTCGGCTACAAAGAGGTTGTCCCTCTCTGGCAGGCAAATCACGGAGAAGTTTGTTTTTGTTTTTGTTTTTGTTTTTGTTTTTGTTTTTGTTTTTTATTTTTATTTTTTTATTTAAAAAAAAAATTTTTTTTTCAACGTTTATTTATTTTTGGGACAGAGACAGAGCATGAACGGGGGAGGGGCAGAGAGAGAGGGAGACACAGAATCGGAAACAGGCTCCAGGCTCCGAGCCATCAGCCCAGAGCCTGACGCGGGGCTCGAACTCACGGACCGCGAGATCGTGACCTGGCTGAAGTCAGACGCTTAACCGACTGCGCCACCCAGGCGCCCCTGTTTTTGTTTTTTAAATAAACAATCTGCTCACGATCAATCCTCTTGCACAAAGCTATTCCAGACAAGCCAGCAGGCATGAGGATATTTCAGGTTGGACTAATTTGCTAATGGCCTGGCATCTCCAATAGGAGCCTCATCAGAACCTGTCTGAATTATTTGTG